GCCTACCCCAAAACTCATGGAGGTCTGCAGAGAGGTGCCTTCACCACCACCGCACCTTAAAGAAGCTTTACGGAACCCTGAAAACTGCAGCAGCAGCTTGGGCTAAAACCCCTCACTGCACCACAAGTTACCTGCTGTCTGCCATACGGTCTGATCACATACTACTCAACCCTCTCCAACCCCTCAGTCCGGTAGGGCAAAGTCAGCAGAGCCGAAAGTTGCAAAAGGAGGCTCAGCAGGAGATACCAATTGCTGCCAACAGCTTTAAATGGTTTAATGTGAACCTGGTGCCAGAAATAGGGCACTAACTGAAGATGCAGCCATCAGCTATCAAGGTACCAGACATTCTGGACTTGGAGAGAGGAGAAGAGGTGAACGTTACTCTTCCATCCTAATTCTATCCAGGATGGAGGAAGCATGGCTCAAAAAGGACTATGAATTGGGCAATCAATACATTTCCATTTGCCACAGCGTGGAAAGACATGAGCTAATGAATTTTGCACTACTGGCAAACCTCGTCCAGTTAGCCCGCAATGTTTGGGAAGCGGCATATAACCAAACCCTCAGGAAACCCTGCAAAACTCAACGAAAGGCCAATAAAACACAGACTTTCTGCTTTTTTTGTGTAGAAAAGTATCCCTGGCAAAACCAGGGTATTTTTTTCCTCACCACATTTACTTAACTTTTTCACCTCTTACACTTGCCTCGGAGAGTTTCAGTTCTATCCCTGAGCAGAAACACAATACCTCAACACAAGAACGGGCCACTGCTGATGAAAGCCTCTATATCGCTGTATGAACACTCATATCAACTGCTGTATCAACATGCACATCCCTTGTTCAGCAACACACTCACTTTTAGGCTATTTTTATTGAACGGTGCCAGGCTGATTTAAGCTCCCACAAACACGCACAACTGCTCACGTCAGTGATGCCACACTCCAAATACCCAGAAATTCTCCAAGCCTGCAATGGCCCCTGGGCAGCCACCTACTGCTAAAGGGACTTTCAACAGAGATGAGATCAGCAAGCATATCTCATAATCCTAGAGCAGAGTAAATGGGCCATGGAGCATGGGATCTCTGACAGTGAAATTATAGCCTGTAGCAGAGCAGAATTTCCTGCACCTGTTGACTTGAATTCTTCTCTTCATAGTGAGTTTCTCAATAGCTGGTTTGTTGGGTTTTTTTTTTTCCTGCTTGGAAGATGAGCAGAATTCAGTCTTTATCAGTTTGAGGAGTAAGATTTTATTTATTAATCCTTCTGCCTATACTTCATTACTTCTCATAGTCCACATTTCCCCTAAAGAGACAGAAAGGATTCCCCTTGGTGGTAACTGAAATCTCTTTGCTCTTCAGTCTCAGCACTCTTCCCATTTACTTCTTACATGTCTACCTGAAAAATCCCTTGGAAAAATAGTTCAGACGTTTATCTAAACCTGTTGAGACCTTCAAGTAACAACTTTATGGCAATAACTACCCACTCATTTCACAGGATACACATTCAAATGCCAATTTTGTTTACTTCAGAGCTCACCTGTAGGAGGAGAGCGGAGGTCTGATACTGTGAAATCAGCACTAAATGTCTAGAGTTTGGGTTGGGCTTTTCACACCACTGGCTAGCAGAGTAGTTAAGTACAAATTGCTTCATTTTAGTGAAGACAAATCAGTCTTCAGCAGTTCAGAAAATACTCCCACATTGCTTTGTATTTTCCTCTCAGTTACGCTATGCATGAGGTGACGTTCAGGAAAGTATTAGTGAAACCAGTTATGCCCACTAACACACAAAATTGCCAAGAACAGAAAAATTCTTATATAGGTGCTGCCTATTCAGCCAGCAGGCATCATCCCCACGTAACGCACAGGTGAAGTGAGCGATTGGGTAAATTCGTCTGCTAGCACCGTGCGAGGGGACAGAACACAAGTGCCCCTTGCCCTCTGCACTGTTCGTCAGTACCTATCTGCTGGGCAGAAACCGCTGGCCAGAGCCGGTTCACGACCTCCTAGCAGCACGCCGAATTGGCAGTGCTGTCAGAGAGGCAGCACAGGAGCCCAAAGACCTGCGAGCCCCCAGGGACCCATCGGGATTCTCCAGCTGCCCTTCCCGGGTCCCTGCCCGCAGCGGCGTGGCCGCGCAGTGACCTGATGCAGCTGGCAGCGCGCCCCGGCTTACGCTGCTTGACGCCGCCGAGGAAATTACAAAGCGCTGCAGAGAAAAAGCAGGAAGGCTCGAGAAGCAGCTTCTAATTTTCCACAACTTTCGCTGCACTTCTTCCTCTTAGTGCAAGCCTTCCACATGGTCTCACTTCTGTTTCCCCACATGACTGACGGACTGCATGCACTGAAGGCACCCGGGACAAAAACCAGTCACACGGGGATCTCCCAAACCTCCCAGTCTCTCCTACACTCTTCTCTCTCAATGCAGCCTTTATTCTGTTTTCTTCCTATCTACAATGAAGATGTTAAAATAATTAAAGCAACAAGTCTTTTACTTTGGATAAGCTTGTTAAGAGTGCTTTATGCTGAAAACCATTACAAATGCACTCTTTCATTATCTACACAAATGACTTTTAGAGCATCTTCCTGATGGACTGTTATTATTACTTGATAACAGTAAGCTGAAATGAACGTCACATGAAAATCTTGAGAAGAAAAGAAAAAATTTATAACTAAATAATTGAGAGAACACTCTTACAGCACTTGGCATGACAGCATGATTCAGACAGATGACAGCAATACACTGAAGTAATAATGTCACTGTTAGCTCTTTCAAAACAGAAACAGGAGAAAATCCAGCCATCTCAAGAAAAGAATCAAGTGTAATCATTTTCTGAATCCTTATCTGTTGGAACCATAACAAACATGGTAACACAAACTCTGCACATAATTGGTAGATCTTTCAGAAGAGAGAACATCATCTTGTCTGTTAGTACAGCCTGAGGGGGAAGGTGGCGGAGGGGGGGACAACATTCTTAATCCTTTGGAATAGAGGTTTTCTCTAGTTCACCTCCAAAAAAAATTAAAGAAAACCAGCTAACTTAATTATGGGAATAATGTAGAGGGAGCACAAACACTGTGAGAATTTTTGGTCCATGACGCAAGCCTGAATAAAATACTAACAAAACAAAACAAAAAATTCCATTATCTTGGCTCAGAATATTTTCTTTCAGTGTAAAAAATGGTCTTTTAGAAGCATGAAGAACACAAGGCAGTTCCCCTCCCTCCACCCCCCAATAAACAGATGTGAAAACCTGGTTGCTTCATTCAGATTAAAACATCCTAATACAAATATACATCTTACCCTAACTTAAAGCACGGGTGGTGTAAACACAGATTTTGTAAGTCACATTACTTCAAGCTTGACAGCAAAACTTCTGTTTGTTGATGTAATAATTTTCATTACTAAACTCACACAATGAAGATACACTTAATTACAATTACAGATTGTTAATTTAAAAAATGTTGAGATATCAAGTACTCCACCATATATGGCTCTTTCAAGAGCCATTTCTGGAAAAGATTAGTACTGTTTTGAAGTGTCCATTTGAGACTACGTGCATTAAAAGCAACTCGGAAGTAAAATACTTCATACTTAACGCTGAGACTCAGCCGTGAAAAGCTGGTAAAACAAAACATGACTAGCTATTCCTTCCTGAACTGAAAATACTTGAAACAACATTCTTAGCTGTAATTTCAAAGTACTTAAAAACAAACCAAAAACGCTCTGCAAGAAACCAACCCTTCATCAGGTATTTCAATCAACTGACTTCGGCCTTTCTGTAGCATTGAGATATCCTAGATATATGTGTATTAATATTTAACAAAGTTTTTCAAAAGTGAAGATGCTACTAGAAAAGAAGATACTAATTCAGATGCAGAATATTAGCAGTCCTCTCCTGAGACAGAATCACACTGTATTTTATGACATGGTGTTTAAATACAGGGACTTTAAAGAACATCTGATGAGAGCTGAAGAAAAGCCATCCGATCTAAAGAAGCTGTGATTTCGAATGAAAAAAACCAAGCAGCACAAAGGCCACCAAATACCCACTTCTGCATTTCACCATGTGATTACAGTTCAGTCATATAAATCAAAACATGCATGTTAAAATTCTCAAGCTTCACAAACCCAGCTGTCATTCTCAATTTCTGCTGGTTTGGTCAGCCATCAAGTAGTCTAGGAAATGACACAAGCTCATCAGAACTCAGCCTCCTTAGTTCATTTATGATTATGCTCGCTGGCTGACTGTAATAAAAATGTGTATTGAAAGATCCTCTGCAACCTTTTCAGAGCCAAGATCAGCCGTCAAAATCTACTTCAAACAAAGTTGCATTTGAAAACGAACCAAACCGCAGAAAAAGAACATAGGAAACTTTACCTTAATTGGAGCACGGCTAAACTGTATTTTTCTGTTGGCTGGGATTTCATCTTCATCTGGCAATCCATTAATTTCAGAATAGTCCATATCAGGTTCATAACAGTTATTTTCATCGCTGTCATCCTGATCATCCTGTTCTGTACCTGTCTCTCCCCAGTCAGAATTATATCTCGATCGTACCCGATATACATTGTAGTCAGAGTGCATGTACACGTGGGAACTCTGAAAATTATTCACATCTTCATGCACTTCTTTTTCACTTGCTTCATCATAATGGGACTCAGTAGCGTCTGAAACGGCATCTGTGGCAAAATCACCACCTGAAGCTACATTTCTTGGTACTTCTGCAGCTTCGGGTCTATCAAAGATACCCTCTGCATGCTCTGACCCTTCCTTTTGTTGCAACAAAACTTCTGCCTCTGTTTTTGACTTACTCCTAGCACAGCCGTCCACAGATCTTTCGCTGTCAAGCACGCTGACCAAATCCTGTTGACTCGCTGCGGAGCTCTCAACAGAATCAGCATTTGCCTCTGTACTCTTCTTTATTTCTTCAGCTGTTCTCGAACCTGCCGAAGTGCCTGTGGACGCCTTCTGTCTCAGTGCTGAAGGCGCGCTATTCTGCTGAGAGTTCTCAGCAGACATCAAGCCTGTACTCTGTTTGGCTGGCGGAGACCACGTGCTGGTATCTTTCAGAGGACTGAAGCCCTCAAGGTTTGCAACTGGGGAGGAGATATTTGCAACAGTAGAGGAGAGGTTTAGCGGATAGTGGCCAGTCACAGAGTACTCTTCATTGTTCTCCGATTTTTCTACGACGATTACGCTGTGTGAGTCAGTGTTTTCAAAAACTGCGCTGAGCTGACTCACAGTTGGAGAGACGGTCTCTGTCCTTGGGCTAAGACTGTCCAGCGAATCAGTGCTGCCTCTGTGAGACTTCGAGCTGCACCATTCATCTGGAAGCTCATTGGAAACGACTTTCTCTTTCTTTGGGGAATAGCGATTGGAATGTCCCGTTTCATGAGCATTTCGCTCAAACATCTTCCGAGTTTCAGTAAACTTGGAATAGGAAGGACCATCGTGGATAGTATCAAATCTACTAATCCTTTCTGAGACGGACGATTCCAATTTTACAATTGAACCATCCGCTTTTTCTACAAATTCTTTGGGCCTAATTCGTCTTTGAGGTGATGGAGGGCCACCCTTCCCCCTGGTTTTAGGGGTAACTCCAGCACTTTCACTGGGCTCCATGCCCATCTGCATAAATAAGTTCTTAATCCGATTGACATTTGAGCCATATTTCCTTCCCCTGCTCTGCGAGGCCTCTCCTTCCTCTTTCGTTTTTTGGTCTCCATCTGATTTCGGTTTGTCAAAGGTGCTTTTCAGCGCCTGGAACTCAGTTCTGTAAGCATTCCTGTGAGGAGAGGCACTTCGGAGGGTTGATCTTTCTCCTGAAGACTCCGTTTTCATCATGTTTACTCCAGGAGCGCAAAACCCGCTTACATAGTTTCTGCGGTACCGTTCTCAGTAGTCTGTCACGGCTGAGATTCTGCTTGAGGAGTGTTTTTCTCAGGAGGCACTGCCCTTCAGCAGGGCCGTACCCAAGAGAAGGGCTGGAGGCAAATATCTAAACGCATGGGGTCAATTCTGACAAAGCAGCACAACCGAGGACTCTCGAGAACACTGGCTGATTTAACCTGCAATAGAAAGGAGGGTTTTCTGAATCACGTCAGGTACTCGCACTTCTTTAAATCTAAGCCACAATTTCCATGTACCGTTATTTGACGTGTTACAGGAAAAAAATACAACCTAACACCGCACAGACACACGAAAACTCGCCATTACAAACTTTTTCAAACTGACTGTTGGATAATTTGCAGTCTGTAATATCATTTCACAGTGAAAGAATGGATTATCGCATCTTACCGTTCACGAAGTATTGTATCATGCCACAAACATGCACGCAAAGGAAAGGCAACGCGACAAGAAAAACAGCGCTACGTCTGCGTTATGAAACTTTTCTAAAAAACAGAATTAAAAAAATCCCAAATATCAAACCTGTGAGTTACTTGCGTCTAACTATAAAGTAATGCACGCAAACAGGATGGTTCTCCTTCATCGCAAGGCAAGCCTTGCTCTCTCAGAGAAACGCAATGGTGGAAATACCATCAAACATAATACACTGAGAAAGGCAAAACTGAGCAGCAGCTCGGGGGAATATGAAAAACTGCACCCGAAGTTAACATCCTCGGTTGGCGTGGTAAGGAAAGCGCAATCCAGCTCGAGAAAGTTGCCCCTTGTCACAGGCAGCGGTTTTAGCGCCTGGAAGAGCCTGGAGGTGCCTCGGGAGGAGCTGCAGAAACGGAGCCAGGGGCTGGACCCGCTCCCAGCCCC